AGCTAGAGCACTCGGTGTTTGATACTCTTTAGTATAACAATAAGTGGAAACTAGATTTAGCCTAGAGAAATGAAGAAATTTCAAATAGTATCATCAGGAAAGGTATTTCACTTAAGTTTCAGTCCCAAATCTAAAGAAAATTATATATGGACATGCATATATGAAATTCATGTACCTGTTTAAATATAATTCTTCCTGGTTCAAAAATTTATCATTACTTATTTCAGATCAAAAAATAAAATAAAGCCCTAAAATATTAATTAAGCAATTCTGACTTATCTGACACTGATTGGTTTTCTTTACAATGTCTCTTCTTTTTCCTTAAAAATGGTTTAGGCTTTCTCAAACATATCTTAATCTTATCAATTTTCAACAGTCCTCTGAAACTTACACAGAAATTAAAAGCCTTGAAGGATTATATTAATTAAAATATTAAAGAAATAAAGATGCCTTCATCAAACCCCACCCAAATCCTATGGAAGAGGAGGGAGCCATATGTATGACAGGGCATACAAATTCAGAGACCATGTCAGCATATACAAGACCTGCACAAGTTCAAGCAAGATGGGTCCCAGCACTGAGATGGGGTTGGGCATTGAGTTCCAATTGGGCCCCAGCACTAATTTGAGGACATGAGCATGGGGCTCCCCTCAGGTTCCAGCACTAAGTTGGGGAAATGAACATGGGGTCCAACCCAAACCAAAAAGCTATCTGCACTAGATACCTGCTATCAAAAGGAAAACCAGTTTTCTTTAAGAAAGTGTCACTAGATATATCAACAACACTAATGGGCAGAAGGCAGGCCCCATGTCCAGAAGTTGAACAATACAAAAACAAATTTCTCTTTCTTTTTTTAATGCGTGCTTTTATTTTGTTTTGTTTGGGCACTTTTTGAATTACTGCATTTTTGTTTATTTGCTTTGAATTTCATTTTTCTGGATTTTTGTTTTGTTTTCAGAAGAGAGAGAAAGAACATGAACTAGCTGGAAAGGAGGATGGGAAACATAACCAAAATGTATTATATAAAAGCTTGTATATAGATGAAACGAATGGAATCCAAGATAGGTTATTAACTGGTAATTATTGGGGAGGTACCAGTAACCAGATTGGCACTCTGAGTGGTCCGGTCCCAGAATGCTTCCCAATGCTGACTCAACCCTGAGAGAGGGCGAGCACCCTGCTCTCTCACCCTTTTCTACCCCCTACATACCTGTGACAATGACATCAGTATAGATGTTGGGATCTCTCCCTACAATTGTAAATTTTGAAAAAGGAAATAGATGGCTCAGAAGTTAAGAACAATTGCTGTTCTTCAAAACACTGAAGTTGGGTGCTCGGCATCCATGTCAAGTTACATATAACCACCAATAACTACAGCTTCATGGCATCTGATGCCCTCCTCTGGCTGCTGCAAGCACCTTCACCCTCATGCACAGTCATACATAAATACATACATATTTAAAGAAGTAGAGACTTCTGTTTACATATTAAGCATTTTGACCCTGTAAAATTTTATCTATGAGATACGTTTTAAATAAACACTGGATATAAGTATAAATATTATGAATGCAAAAATCAAATCAATTATATACTGTGCAGTTAACTGCACAGTCTGTGCAAATATCTACAGCCTAGTTAACTCACCCTAAATGTTCGGGATTTCAATGTTTAACAATGTGAATGATGAAGGTGCCCCATAAATATTTTTGCACAACTGTACACATGTTCCTATGCAATACAGCACCTTTTTTCCCTTCCCTTTCTATAATGAAGTCATTGAAGTTGAAAAAATCCATTATATGATCAGCAGCAGCAGCATGAATGTGAAGATTTGCCTTTTGTGATTTTGGTCAGTGGCAGGACAAAATAAATAGGGCTGCCTTCATAGCATATAAGACACAGTATCCCATCCACTCTGCTAGACAGGAATGGGTATCACATCAGCAGGAATTCCTACCTAAATACTGCAGCCTTGTTGTCTATTTTCTTAGCTTCCCCACTCCCACCTCCTCACAGCCAAGTGACTGTCTCCTTACAAAATACATCAGAGTAAGTCTTCTGTGTCAACTGCTGAGGGTTCCAGCTTGTGGATATTTATAAATATTTTTTCTCTATTATTAAGAAGTTAAGGTCAACAGACACTCTGCTATTTACTGGATGATGACAGTGGTAATACATGTGTGATATTTTTTATCCTTGAAATGCAAAACTACTATAGACAGGCAAATACTTTATTGAACTTAATTGGCATCTGGTGGAAGGTTATAATGTACTCTAACTCATGTGCACTGAAAGAAAACCACTTACTGAAAACACAGGGAAACTTCTAAGAAGAATAAAACTTCTAAGCCTGGTTATACAGGGTCCTGGTATATGGATTTGAAATTTTCATGGAATTTTTATGATAAAGTACAGAATTTGAAATAATTATAGGACTTTGATATTGGTTAAACTAAATATATTTAATACATGTCTCTGTGAGCCATATATATTGTGTGTATACATATGCAAACACAATTTGCTTGTTGTGCATTATTTTGCCTTTTAGTGTATCCCTATGACTCAGCTCAACAATATTTTTTAAAATCACTGTAATCATTAACCTTGCCTATTTGCTAGCTTTCAGAATCATCAGAAAGACTTAAAATTTAAGATACAATTGACATTTAACAACAGCATGACCAGGAACTTTAAGGGTCTTATCTTCTCACAGACTGCTTCCCTTTGTGAAGCTGTAAAAGTCCCTAAGCTTTTTGAATCTTGGTTTTCTCTATTAGCAAACACAATAGTGGAGTTTATGTCTAAAATTTCTTTCTGTCATAATCCTATAAAGTGTGTAAGAAATACCAGCAGGAAAGCAGCCAAAGTTTCCCACAACACTATCACTGTTCTTTATACCTCTAGCACAGTGGTTCTCAACCTTTCCAATGCTGTGATTCTTATGTTATCCTCGTGTTGTGGTGACCCCCACCATAAACTTATTTCATGGCTACTTCATAACTATTTCATGCTATTGTTATGAATATCTGATGTGCAGGATATCTGCTCTGCGACCCGTGTGGATCACAGACCACAAGAACCACTGCTCTAACAGATATGAGGAAATGTTTAGGATTCATATTAGCTAAGCAGACAGCTACAACAAATGATAATATCTGAGAATGTGTACTTCCTTATTATTAATAGAGGTAGAATAATTTTAATTTAGTAACACCTATAAAGAAAAGGGGTTTCACAATCAAAGTAACCAGCTGAAGAGTGTTTGTGAGAAAAACACAATCATATACTTGAGAAATAACTAACTTGTGACAGTTAAAATTTATTAGTTTTAAAACAAGTTTATGGGAAGTTAAAATAGCATCCAATTAACAGATGTCGGTTGTTTAGATTTTCTATTTCTTCTTGTGTCAATTCTGTCATTCTTTTTCCTTATAAAATTTAATTCTTGTCTCTTAGTTGAATGTAATTGTCACAAAGTTTTTTACACATTGCCTTATTTTCCTTTTCATGTCTACATGATACAGAATGATACCCTTTCTTTCATCCCTGGTGTCATTAGTTTGTTTCTTTTCTCTTTTTGAAAAATGAAAAGTGATAGTAGCTTATAGGTTTAATTTGTCTTTTCAAATAACTAACTTTTGGATTTCTTTTTAGCTTTATTGTTAATATTAAATTTCGTATTTTCTTTTGTACTTTTATAATGCATGCTGCTTGTGTTTTTTTTTTTTTTTACAAAGAATGTGTTTTATACAGCTGTTGGATATGGTCTTGTATATATCTCCACTGTTCAAAGTAACTGATGGTTTGTCTTTAAATCTTTATATCTAAAATTTTGTTCTTTATTTCAATATCTTTCCTTTCCACATTAGAGAGGCCTATTTTTACAAACATCTTCTTAATACACAGAATATTCCTTTAAAATTTATCTTTAAATATTTGTATAGGGAAGGGGTTGTTCATGTGTGGGCTTTTACCCATGGAGGCCAAAAGAGGACATCAGATCCCCTGGATCTGGAGTTATAGGCATTTCTGATCCACCAGACAAGAGCGTTAGGAACTGAACCAATACTCTCTCAAGAGCAATATATGATCATGACCACTGAACAATCTCTCAGCTCTGATACTCTCCTTTTAAGGTGATCAATTACCAACTAAAAATTAACTGTACAAGTTGCTGCTCTTGACTGGATTCCATGGTTTGTTCTGCATGTGCACAGTTCAGAGACCAGCTAGGTATCTGAGAAAAGTTTATATTCAGACCTAGAACTCCTTCTCTGGACCCTTCTCATTTGTAGGATTCTATAATTAGTTTTTGTAATTTTGAATTACAGCCCCAGATTCTCCAGTAATGCTAATAAATGAATGTGTTCATGACCTTTTCAGAAAATTTGCTCTGCAAGCAAAAGAACTTGTTCCACCTGGTCCCACAGACCTTCAGTCCCAAATAAACACACTGACACTTATATTAATTATAAACTGTTTGGCCAATAGTTCAAGCTTCTTATTGGCTAGTTCTCTCTTAATTATTAACCCATTACTATTAATCCATGTATTTCTACATGGCATTATCTTACCAGAGAATACCCAGTGTCTTGTCTTCCTGGTACTACATGGCATCTCTCTGGCCACTTCTCTCAGCATCCATTCCCCAGAATTCTTCTTGTTTGTTAGCCCCACCTGTACTCCCTGTCTGGCTACTGGCCAATCAGTGTTTCATTCATCAACGAATAAGAGAAGCATATATACAGAAGGACATTGCCCTTCATGTCTAGCTGAAATCTCTCAAAATAATAAGGCAACTAGCAACAGAGTCATCCAGCATCCTACTCTGGCCTCAGTATGCATACATACAGATTCACATACTCCCAGGCATGTAACACATACATTTGAGTTCTCTACAATCTATGCTTCTTTACATTCAGTATGAAAGTCAGCAGGTATATTGCCAACAACAGAATAAACATGATTTATGTTTTTCATCTGTTGTATAAAAGATCTACCTTTTTTCTGGCGTCTCATCTGGCTTGATAGATTGTAGTTCTTTCTTCTTAAGGGCTTTCTGGAAAGTGTTAAGAAGACAATAATGACTACCTGTACAAATTTTAATTTGTGTTCTGTTATATTTTCAAATGGAGAATAAATCTTTATAATGCAAATATACATTTATATTCATAATACATGTCATAAACCAAGAATCCATATGAATATTGGGTTTGCTCAATACTAAGTCTTCTTCAGTATCTTTTTGCACCAGAAATATAAATCTTAGTAATAATTCTAGTGAACAAGTTTTTTTATAAATTTAATATAGATAAGAATTTATTTATTTGGCTGTGCCTTACAAAAGAACTGACGTAACATTTTACAAAATAAAATCATCTATGAAAAATAAAAATAACCTTAAATTAGGTTTAATGGGAAAATGTAAGTAGAATGATGTGGAATATTTCCTGATGTTACTTGGTATGTCTATCAGAATTGGTTATCAAATTCCTAGCTGTCAAAGACTTATGGACTAAAATACATTCTCACCAAATTCTCAAAGTCTAATCCACAGTGTGTTTATATTTTTAGCAAAGGCTTCCAGAGAAGTGTGAGGTTCAAAGGTGACGCCATAATCCAAACTACTGATTCTCTCATATGTCGCAGATGTTGCCACATGGGAGCAGGTTTACACAGGTCCCTCAAAAGAAGACTCAGAGATACTTTTAAGAATGAACTTAGCCAGGCTGGAGAGATGGCTCAGAGGTTAAGAGCACCGACTGCTCTTCCAGAGGTCATGAGTTCAATTCCCAGAAACCACATGGTGGCTCATGAGATATGGTGATATGAGACATGGTTATGAGATATGGTGCCCTCTTCTAGTGTGCAGATATACATGGAAGCAGAATGTTGTATACATAATAAATAAATAAAGTCTTTAAAAAAAGAATGAACTTAGCCTTTATTGGCTGCAGGTATCTTCAGCCTCAATGGACTGAAGCACTTTCTCATGTCCAGGGCATTTTTACTTTTCTGTATACTTTAGCCAGTTGATCACCATATGCTCAAAACAAGTTGAATGAGGCTTCCAAAAACACAATGCCAAAAGTCTTGATCATTGTGTATCACAGTTTTCTGGGTTTCCCAAACCAAGTGTTGCATAGGCCTTTGTATCCTTGGTGAACTCTCAGACAAGGTTCATGTGGGGGACAAAAGGTATCTGCTTAACAAAGGACGGATTAAGGCTAGGTGCTATCTCTGAGGAGCAAGGCCAGGTATAGCCCACCTGGGATTAAGGCTAGTTGAGATCATCAGGATCCTGCCACTCATATGAATAGGATGATGCCCCATAATAAGGTCCTCTTATGACACAAGGCCAAAAAGACAAAGAATCTCAAACTAAGGAGAAAGAAATCCTCTTGCTGGCAGCTTAAGCTTGGACTTTGGGCCTCCAGAATTATGAGATAAGTAACTCTACTGGTTAAGTCATATACATTGTTGTGTTTTGGTACTAGAACCCTAGAAGACTGATACAAAAATGCCCAGGAAAAGAGTTCAGTTAGAGAAGCCAACTTGCATTCAGTGAAAAATGTCTTCCATATGTCATTCAGAACAAGACTGGTATAAAGTGCTGCACTGCTCTCAACAATTACACAACAGTGTTTAATAGGGTGTTTTCTTATACATTCCCTTTGCGCTAAACAACAATGAGACTATACGGAAAAATAATTGCATAATAGCTCTGGGTAACTGGTCATTGCCTCTGAGCAATGTGAGCCAAAGGTGAAGCTGATGCATTTCATCCACTTTATAATCTTTCATGATGATCATTTTGCACAAAATAGCTTTTGAAAAAGAACAGGGATAAGGAATTTCAAGTCATTCTGATAGTTGAGAGGAAAAAAAATGGAGTGTGTGTGGTCATTGTCTCCTTCAGATTCTATGAAGTCAGGTAATGGAAGTTTTTGTGGCATATGGCATATGCACATCACCTAGAAAATGTGTGTCTTCACATTTACAGAAGCCAAACATATCTTATATAAATTCTCTGAAAATGTAAAAGGCAACATAAGATGAAATGTAAAGATGTTGCACTTGTGCTGCAAAAAATGCTCAGCTTTAGACATAGGCTGTTTATTTCAAATCATAGCTGCTACTTACAAAGCAGAGCTTCATTTGTATTATATTTCTCTCAGATGCAATCTTAGCTGTACATGTTCATGCTCTCTCATGGTATTCATTTCTAAGGGTTTTATTTTTTTCTACAATTACATTAGAAAATATGAACCTTGAAAACAGATTGGTACTTTCAGAATTTCTGGTCATACATTCTTTTTCAAAGTAAACAACTACTCCAAAAATAATACTATTATTTTTAAATTTATGTATAACACATAAGCGATGCTAAACCACAAAGCCATGCTTTTCACTGCTGCCTTCATGAAGCTCCAAGATAGGTATTCATGGATACAAAACTACTAATGGTTCATAAAACTTAATTTTTAATCTTTTAATCCATACTTTTATAGGAACTGTTTTTGGTTTGGATACCCAGTCTTTAGGTAAGAATACTACTATTCTTGTCATGTTTTATTCTCTGTCTTTCTTCTTGGCCAGACTAACTAAATTGCAAGTCTCCATAATAAAGTCCATTGTGAGGGTCTCCCCTCCTAGCTTGTCTTCTCGTTCTTTCCTTTCCTCTTCTGAAAACTCACTGGGGTCCCTTTCTCCACTGGTACCCCTTCCTTCCTCCTTCCCTCCTTCCCTTCCTTCCTTTCTTGTTCCTTCCTTCATCCCTTCCTTCTTCCTTCCTTCCTTCTTCCTTCTTTCCTTCCTTCCCTCCTTCTCCCTTCTTCCTTCCTTCTTTCATTCCTTCCTACCTTTCTTCTTCCTTACTTCCTCCCTTCTTCCTTCCTCCCTCCCTCCTTCCCTTCCTTCCTAAGGAAGCTAGAATAGACTTGGGGTTTTGCTTTGGTTTTCCTGTGTGTTTGTTGTTTGTTGTGGTTTGCATTTTGCAAAGTGAATGCCAGTTTTTGTTTTAAAGGGTTCCCCCATGAGTATAACATAGAAGTCTTTTAAAGACTTCTATATTCAATTCTCAAGCCCAGTATACCTTGATATTTCAACTCCATTTTGTCCTAAAATGTTTCTTCTTCACACAGCTGTCAGGTGCTTCTTCCAAGTTCCCCGAAATCCTTCTTTCTGCCCAGAAACAGCTTTTCTGTTCCTCAAACATTTGGCTGAAGAATATGTAAACTACTAATAAAACTCTCTGACATATTTTCAATTTTTTTTTCTAACAACCTGAATAGATTTATCTCACATCACTTCCCAGACTCCTTCCCCTACATAGTCTCTCAACTATCAGAATTAACTGGGACTCACTTCTGGGATTTACACAATATTATTACACCTCAGTCTTCTTTTTAGAAAAACAGCTGTCTAACCCATCAATCCCCATCCTCTTTCCAAATTTGTTTTTTTTTTCCTTTCTGACAGTTCTCATAATATAATAATTAAACTCTTACACTGATTAACTATAGAACTTCTCGAGCCTTTCATTTTACATGTTATTGCTAGACAGATTGCTATTTCACTCTGCTGCTGTGAATTTCTGAAATATATTTGCTATAAAAAGGTACTCTATAAATGGCATGCTATTCCCTAGCACCCCTAAATGTGGTTAAAGGGGTATTCTATAAGTCATAAGGAATTCTCATAGTTTTTTAAACAGTCTTGTGTCCCTGCCAGACTACATATAAAACATAGTATATAAACATACCATGCAAGGTAAAATGATCTGTTTTCAAAGAAACAACTGTTAAAGGAGAACATTTCTAGTATATACATGTGATGTCAAAAGTTACACATTAAAACATGTGAAATCAACTGCAAAGCTTTCCTGCCAGGCTGGACTGTTAACAGCTGGGCTTGTTCTGTGGAGATCAGCCATGCCCCTAGCACTGTGAGGAGCAGTAAGCTACAGTTCTTATGCCACTACTGCTTACAATCTGAGAAATGACTAGGACAGAAAGAAATGCCAATCATCATCACACATTCAGAATCAAAAGTTACCAAATGTATTGGGGAGAATTTTAACATGTCATTCTCCTTGAATTCTTGAATTTAGGAGTGTCTCAGAATGCACACAACAACAGAAGAGCTTTTAAAGCATGCAAGAAACTTCAAAGGGCTGTAGTACCTAAGCCCATGTGTACCCACAGGAAAGCTGCCCAAAGACACCCCCCTAGCATCTGTACAAAAGGTGATCTCAATTTCACCATTTCCTCTCTGTATCTTTCCACAAAAGCATGATTGCCGAAGAGAAGCTGGTAAGTCTGCAGGACTCATACGTCCTTCAGAACAGGGAAAATCATACAAAGTGACTCAGCAAAGCATCACTTTAACCTCCCTGAAGAACGAAAACTAAGAATTTACTCCTTTACATGGGAATTATGCTTGTTTATTTTGCCATTGTGGAGACTGAGTCTAGGGTCTTGCACTACCTGGAAAGTACTCCATCATCAAGCTACACTTCCCTAGCACAGGTTTTATTTTACTTTTTTGCAGTTATTTTATTTTATTTATTTATTTTATTTAAATTCTTTAATTACCACTCATATTTACATATCCATCCCCACATTCCCTCACCCTCCCATCCTCCCATGTTCCACATCAATCCCCCCAACCCACCCCCCAACTCCTCCCCAGGGATAGTGAGGTCCTCCACCAGGGACCTTCAAAGTCTGTCATATCATTTGGGGGAGGGCCCAGGACTTCCTTTCTGTATCTGGGCTGCAATAGTATCCCTCCATAGGGAATGGGCTCCCAAAGTCCATTTGTGTTATAGGGTTGAAGAATGGCTTCACTCTTATAGGTGGCACCCACATTCAGAGGGCTTGTTTCGGTCCAATACTATTTCCTCAGCTTTATGACCGGGGTCTCCATACTCTTACTAGGTCAGGTCCACTGTTTCTTCAGGTCTCTCCAGCCCCATCTTGGCTCCTTTGCTTATCCCTCCTCCCTCTCGACAACTGAATTACAGTAGTATGTTTCAGTGCTTAGCTGTGGGTGCCT